CCTATTAACACAGGTCCCTCCCTTCCTTGTGGTTTTCATTTGGAATTAACAATTACTTAATGGATTCCGTGTTTGGATGGCCTGATCCAAACACGGGCTTCAACCAATCAGAACACGCGTTATATGCATGTTATTTTATAAGGAGATTTCCTTCAATTGTTGAAGCATGAAATTTGTTGTAAATAGAACAGTACTTATTACTTATTTCAAATATCCATGCAATGTCTATGATTAGCACCCAGCGATGAAATTTTTATGTTCCTCGAGTGACGTCATAGCATGATAAATAATAAACGTCATGACGTAATGTTCGTTTTTAAAATGAATTGTAGAACATTTTTTGTAATTGTTTTTCGCATGATTTGCACTGGACGTTGCCACGCGATCTTTATTTAACTTTAACGTTTTATTAAATGAAGCTTATTATAGTAAACTACGAATACGGAACGAATTTCACTCAAAAATACTTTGAATTCATGTTCATTTAGAATAAAAGAACTTCCCCTCAGGTGAAGTTGGTCAGACCCTGGTTGATGGAACACGTGAAGAACATTTTTAAACCAAAGTATGATCGTGTGCTTAAAAAATACGTTAGAAAATCGAGTGTGCAGTATAATACAATATGTTATACCGACTTTGCCTGCACATTGTAAGAGACGCACATCGCCCGTTTTAGGCAGCAATACTCAGTTTTGTATATTGGCAAGTAAATAGATTACTGTGTCAATTTCATCAAAAAACTGTGTCAATATCATCAAAATAATGATGGATTTGTTTTAATTTTTAATATTTTTAGTCGATTTTCTTTCAAAGAAACCATTCGCTATTGCGCTGTCTATGGTTATAATTCTGATTATATTTATTTTGTGCTGGTATATTGACAGGGTATATTTTCATACGACTTAAAACTGCATTTGTATCACCCCTTTTGCTGCATGCTATCGTAGAAAATGCATTTTGGTGTTCGAAATTGAAAGCGTTGTACATGTGGGCGGGCGAGGTTTCCAGGCCCATAAACGTAATTATCGAAAAGGTGTATTGCAATTGTAATCGAAGTAAAGTACTGTGCCTCATTTTGTAGACCTCGGGAATATGGAAGAGTTGAGTTTTACCTGAGAAAATTTTACAATCCCCAAAAAGGTGAGTTTGATCAATATATATTTGGTTGAGGCATTGGTTTAGGAACATTTGGTGAATGTGTAGCATATCCTTTCGCGCTCGTATTTTACGGACAATCAGTGCTCAGAAGGGTTGACAAAGTAGAGATCGATTCTGTAGTATTTAATGGATTATATCTTTTTTTATTCTATGAATCTCGTCGAAATTTTGTGATTGTGTTCAGTTATAAGAACTATAGTTCTAAAATTAATCTGAAAATAAAATAAAGTATATTTTAAGACATATTAGGCTGCTTCAACCGACATCAGTCCTTTCCCGCCATTTCAGATCACCTGGGGCACGAGAATACAGGCGGCCGTTAAGTGGGAGGGCATGCAGGAAGGTCAATATTCATATATTCTTGTCAGATCAAAAACAATCAATTTCAAACTGAACTAATGATGCTGAACGTTAATCCTCTTAAGGCTAGTTTCCTGTCAGGAAAATTCTCCTTTGGATCGGTTTCCTTTGTATAAACGCCGCCTTGAGAACTCGTCGACAAAGGAAATTTTCTTGTCCGTTCCGATCCAAAGGAGATTTTTCCTGGGTGGAAACTAGCCTTTAAGAGACGAGCAAGTTTTCTATGACAAGCTTTCATGTAACAAGTTTTAATTGTTCGTCTGTACGCCTAACTTTCACAATTTTTTCTATGACAAGTACCCTTGTTCAAAATCAAGTACAAATTTTGCTCGTCTGTATGAGACAACAAAGAAAACTTCGCCAGCAAACTTCGACAGCAGGTTCGCCAGCGGACTATAGAATTTTGCAATGGTGCGCTCACGTTGTCCGCTGTACGATTACATCGCTGGCTGCAAACGAAACTGTCAAAGTAAAATAGTTGGCACGTGCACACGAACAAATGAAACTTGCTCGTCCGGAAGAGGCTTTAATATATGAACATTAGCCCCCACTTAACGATCTTTCGCCGTCTGTATTGAAATTCGTATACCAGTCTTGAGTCTTTTGGCGTCGTCCATTAACTTTGTCGATTTTTCGTTCAACAATTTTAGATTTTAAGTTTTCAACTGAAACTCTTTCTGTGATGATGATCTGTGGCATAAGTCTCTATAGCGTGAGTTCTTTATTATCTTAAATAACATTTTTAGTGCAAAGTTTATTTGAAACTTTATTTTTATTTTGGCTTTATATTTTTTACTGGCGGAAGGCCCAGAAGTCAAAACGCTTACAGAGAATGGAAACTTTGCACTATCCTTAGACTCTAGTTTTTACAATAATTTCTACAATAGTATTTAGAAAGAATATTAACATCAAGAAATTCACTATAAATTTTGTTTTATTTTTATATTACAATTAATTTTATGTACTTTTCAATTAATGTTTTCATTTCGCTAATTTCATTGTTTATTTAACAATTCGATCATTTATAAATTCTTCTATAAACTAATATTGAACAGTATATATTTAGAACTAACTACTGAGTTTATTTGGAAATTACTGGATTAATGGAAAAAAGTAGCCATTTATGATGCCCAAGGTCTTAAAAAATTTTATTGCCCTGAATGTGGTAACAATTTCCGTTTGTGGTAAAAAGTATACAAATTTGCAAACTTTGCAAGGCTATATTTTCCGCATTTTACAACATTTCGCAACCAAATTTGCATTTCTGCTAATTTCAGTACGCTCTTTTCAGCTGTGATTTGATTGCATTTCCTTGCATAGATCAAGAAGTAGTCTATAATGCAAAAGGTCTATTTGTGTATAGCATGCATTTTTGGTATACATCCATGATGGTATAACGCGCATTTTCGCTTCAACGACAGAGAAAATCACGAGACTGGCAAGAACGAGCTATGAAAAATGAGTGACCAAGTATCAGAGAGTAAACAACGTTTGACCGCGGAGCTGGCGCATAAGTGCTTGTCGCGTTTTTCTGTTTCCATGAGAGGGTCCGCGACAAGTGTTTATTAATAAACGTGTTTAATATTAGGAGTTCAATCAGTTAAGCGATTGGCATTTGAAACTTATTCTATTCAAAAGATTAGTTCCTGAGATTCCTGGAAATTCGATTTATCTAGCGTAAATCTAAAGTAATAATCATTTTGTTGTTATTTTTCTTCAAGCTCGCCATCGGTTTGATATATTTGTTATATGAAAAACTGAATAATCCTGGAAAATCGATATTTCCTCCTTGGTTGGTCAGTGGATATTTAGGTTAGTTTTGTTAAAACGGTTAAAAAGCCATGCAGTCAATTAATTAAAATTAATGGCCCAGGTCACTAGACCAAATTAGCGCTCTGCATAATTACAATAATACACGTTCTGTTACTACAAATTGATGATTTAAAGAGTGAAAAATTCACCATGCAAAGTTTTAAGAATAAGGTGATATTGAGACATATTAAGGCCATGATTTGTGCTATCCACCTATTTTTCAAACGTCATTCCATGTCATAATTATATTCTAGATCTTAATGATGCGGAAAGTAAGAAAGTCGATCATTTACCACTGTAAATTTACCATTAACTAAATGTTTGCCACTGAATCTACGTTTTACGAAATCTTAAGTCATTATCATAACCTCCACTTTTCCAAGTCTAGCGTCACTTCTGCAATCGGTCATTTAATATTTAATGATGAGGAAAAGAAATGCATTTGTCGATATGAAAATTTGATGTGTTGCAAGAAATTAAAGGCTGATTTTCTATATTTTGATTTTGCCTCTGAATCCGTTGGTTTCTTATATTTATGTTTTATTTAAATTATTTTTCCATTTAGGATCACTTTTAGCTGGTGTAATCCTGACAACTGCGGTCTGTGCGCTCTCCCTCGTTCGTTTCATGGAAAATCATAAGTATGTATAGCTATAGAGTATGGGAATATACGGGCAGTTGATAACTCAAAGTTTTAACCAAGTTCAGGCACGCCGGAACATCAATAAATCGGGGGGGGGGGTGTGGCATATCTTCATATATACGAGTTCTGCATTATTAGTTTCTTTTGAAATCGATTGCTTTTACGGTCTGTGAACTTCAGAACTTGGATATATGAATATATGCCCATCCAATTATCGATCTTCCGGCGTCCCTGACCAAGTTTATAGTTTTCTAACCAATAAAAAATTGGTCTGATAAATGAGGTAAACCATTTTAAATTGTTACTATTTTTACAGCGTACCCAAGGTTTAAGACCTATCAGTAACAACACTTTAGTAGAACTATGTATTTTAATGTTGGATTTCTGTTTGTTTTGTAAAGTTTGTTTTCCGTTAATTTATTTTAGGAAACATGGTAAAGATGTTTAAAGGGGATAAATCGTTTATTCCTAGGAATATAAGCGTGTCACAGTTTATGATTGTAAGTTGAACAATATATTTTACCATATTTCTGTCTAACTTCCCTGTGTATAAATAAAATTGCTTGTTTGTAAGATATCATGTGAAGTGGGAATTGACTAGTCCGTCTCACTACTAACTAACACACATGCACATACACTCGTTTTACAGGCAATAGGACTTCGTTACCACAGTTTTCAGATTGGATACTTTCTGTGGGGTGAGTTCTTGCTTGGACCATAAACCATACTAGATCATATTTATATTTAGACCATTTTTGTTGGATTCATTATGGACCACGGCGAAATGCCTTATACCAAAGTTATGTTTCCATAATTGAGTAATTTGCTCAACCATTATACACTTTGTCTTCTCGCAAACCATCATCAGGCAACTATTGATAGCTGTTGCTGGGCTGTTTTGTGTCTAATCATTTTGTTCTACTGGCCATATCGTATTGTATCATATCAGTCACATATCTTTCATTACAGGCTTCGTATTTAACTGGATTTTCACATCTATTCTTTGTTTTCTGCTGTATCTGTTAAAATTTGGTATTTTTTGGCATCTTATCCATGCCTTTATTACTACCAGCGGGTAAGTGCATGGATTGTGTCTTCGGATCATCTTGTGAATATTCCCTTTCTGTACCGTTATTTTTTGGTGCAAGCAGCATTCTCTATACATGCCATGCATGTAGAAGTATGAAAATCATTTAATTTAATATTTTTTTAATTAACCACGCTTAACCCTAGTATAATTATCAGGAATTATCAGGATAAACTAGCTAGGCTCTGCGTCAAAAGCAGGATAATTACTATGTGGTGCAGAATGAATTTTAGAACTACCGATAATAACAATGGTAAAGAATAAAAATATTAATTTGTGTGTCCCGTTTAACTAAAACATTATTCACACATATTCATTTAGAACCGTAGCGAACCTAAATAGTGTTACATAGACATTCAGGAAACACATGATACACATCGTAATTTCAAAAATTCGACATTTGATCTAGCGTATTCTTGGGTGTGGCCTTTTTCTTCCGATGCTGTTTGCTCGTAGCTTCTGTGACGATATTCCGAGATCGTAACTACTCCAGGAACGTCATTTCTATCAACAACAGGTACGCGTAGATCATGCACTTTCAATTAGACCTTTTGCATAATTGACCAACTTATTATCTAGGTACCAGGAAGGAATTAAATCACCACAGCTAAAAAGAGCATGCGGAACTTAGTATAGTCGCCAAGTGCAAAATGTCAAGTATTACGAAAGTATCCAATTTTGTGATACTTTTTTACTATGGCAAGAAGCGTGTAAAAATACAATATTGGCAACTTCCGACAACGCAGAATAGAACGACCTGAGATCTAGTGATCAAATCAGGCGATTTCACTGGCTTTTTCCAACAAGAGTCTATGCATATATTCCTACTTGCAGTACAATTTACAAAACTTTTGTGTTTATTGCCGCTTCATGGAAATTTCTTAAATGTACATTTTAAAGACTCTTTACTAATTTCCTGCTCTTAAAAGTAGCATTGCATTTAGTAAGCTACAAGAAAAATTTCGCCGTATAACAAGGCCCCACACAGAGCGATGCATCAGTTGCAAGTATTCAGCGGCATTTCGTCATAAACACTATTGATTTTCATCCTCCACGCAGGAATGTCTATTTGGTGTTTTCGTATTTCTGGTTTTTTGTTGGTCTTCCGATGGGTGTCTTTTCCGCCATTTTTCGTATCTTGAAAATAATGGCTGTGGGACTTCTGATGTTGCCAAGAATTGATCATAGCATTTTGCCTGATGGATTCCAATGGCTCGATCCAGGTAACACACAACAGACAGCACATTACACATTGACTTCAACTCATTGACTTTATCATCTTTGGAGGTATTATAAAGGTCTGTTCACACGATCCAATTTTGTTGGATCCAATTCATCTCTGATATATGTTCTATAGTCTGTTGTTTTGTAATGTATATGACTAGCAAATCCACTGAAGCCAATGTAGTTCTACTTTATCAATAACCGACCCTATTTCATACGTCAGAAGTGAATTGGATCCAACAAAATTGGATCGTGTGAACAGAGCTTAATGTTTACATAAGTTATACATACATAACATTCTTTTAGCTAATATACATTCTTTTACCATCCTTTTTCAATTCAACCTTATTGTCTTTAATTCTTTTAAAAGGTTACAATGCGTACGTCTGTTATCTTCACGTCCAAGCAGCTTTTAGAAACCCAGTTCTTCGAGTGTTTTGTCAAATACTGATCGATGATCACGAGACACGTAAGTCTTCTTAAAGAGTAAAGTGTAGTAAGGGGCTGTTTGATCCATGATCCGAAAGTGTGAGACGACTAATATTGAAATGAGTACGTAACATCACAGAGCCTGGAAGTAAATTATTCGAACTTCAAAAACCATTTTAGCTTCAAGCAAGGATTGTAGACAGACTCTACAGAAGACCACAGTTATCGTTAAAGTTGTATTAGAGTTCACCGGCCCTTGTTTCCGATATTGAAAATGTTTTGTATAATTTAGGGAACAACCGAAATGACCCGAAGTGGACTCGTTCTCCCCAGGCCCGCGCCAAGTGGTTCATTGCACTCACCTTGGCACGCAACCCACAACTAGCCGCAGAGCGTAAACGTGTGAGGATCGCACTCCTTCCTGACAGTCCGGTTCAAGAACTGTGTGTCAACAATGGCGACGTCAAGATCGATGTTGTTGGTCACTATGGCCCAATACAGGCGAAGTAAACGATATTCAGCATTTCAGCTGCCGTCTAGTTTTATGTTTCATTTTGTGTTTTTTGAAGTTTATAGTTAGAAAACTTTTATACGTATAGGAGAGATTTGTGAAAAATATTTGCATTTCACAATAGAAAACGGTTAATATTGGGCTCTTGCACTGAGTGACCCATGACGTATTGACGTATCAAAAAAGTAGTCCGCTGATTTCTACAACTTTTTGGAGCCTTAAATGCTTTTGAAATCGCAGGCAAAAGTGTAAACAGCAGTACTACAATTTAAGGCATGTTTGTCAACTGGTAGTAATAATAAACCGAAATTTGCGAATTATGACGTCACTTGCGAGAGCTCACTTTAAGGCAAGGTGTTGGGTTTAAGTTGTGTTTATTTTCAGAAAAATACTAAAGATTAAAAAAAATATAGTGGACAGAGAGGGGAACCCCTAACTTCTATTTTGTGTGCAAAACATTGTTTGCTTCCAATTTCTCTATAATACTGATTTCATAACTCCTACACAATGAGTACCCATGTCACATTTGTGACTGTGTGTCAGGAAATTGCCAAATACTTCCATAGGCATCCCAAATACGGTGTACCACAATGTTGACAAATTGCCGAAAAGTTTCTCGCGCTCAAATTATCACGTATATAGTTTTTTGCAAACACAAAATTGTGTCCTCTGCTCTTTCAACCTTGGCAAACATGGGTAGCAAACAATATTTCTGCAGCAATGTTTTCTGAAGGGTAGTCTGGGGTACTCAAGAGCAATGTTGCATGCAATAGAACAATTTATAGTTATACTTAGTTTCAGTTTATGTAATGTGTTTAATAATTTACATTTCTTGTTTAAAGCATTGAATAATTTTTTGCTGTAATTTTCTTACAACTTGCAACATTCAACTAAGGGCTGTTTTCCACTGTCACCTTTTTTGTAAGTATGTATATATTAACAATTGAATAGATGAATAGGGTTGGATTTTGTTGTGAAGTGAAAGATTAATTATATAGTTAACATGTTAGAAGGTTTTAAGCTTTTATGTGTGTGTACATGCAGGCAAAAACAACAACAGTGGAAAGCAGCCCTAAGAGTACAGTAATAGATTGTGTAGTTGAAGCTAATGGCAGTCATCCTCATTGATCACCCATGATGTGGTTTTGATGACATGCTAAATGTGTTTATTGCAATTCTTTATTGCTATTGGGAAAGCTAGCTAAACTCTGGTAGACCTCTGGATAGAAATTGGTTACTATTTTGCCTGCAACCACCAAAAAATCATGCCAACCAGGGATTTGGAATGACTTCCTTTCCCACATCCATCTAATTTCCACCTGTCTTGCTGAGATGTTTGACAATGTCAACCCAATTCCAGCCTCTTTCTCGTTCCCCTTTATGATTTGTTCTGTCCGCCAATTTTCTTTTTTGTTGCTTTGTTAATTGAACTTTCTTTTCCTTGACTGGTTTATCTATAACTTCTTCTGGATGTGCCAATGTCAGAAGAGCATCTTCCTTCTAAAAAATATAGCACTCGATATATGAAGAAGTCCTGGGAAAATTTACCAAGACAGTCCTTTTAACCTTTTAATAAACAGTTATTATTAAATCCCAAAGTTTCATCCAATGGTAACATTCTGGAACTGGTTGTATAAAACTCTTTAACTACATTTTTTCATTGTTAAATCCTAGTTACGGTAACTCTAATTGGCCCATTCTGTCCATAATCATAGTTAAATGTTAATTAGCTGTTTGTTATACAACTGGCCCTTGCATTGCAAATGACCAGTTAATGACAAAACTTCAAAATTTAACACTAAAATTTGTTACTCAATTAAAATGCAATTAAAATCTTATTATCTCTACCATTTACTCTGATAAAGTTATTTTAGGTTTATATAATTACCATATGGTGGTTAACTAACCCTATATATAGAATATACCATAAACGATTGAATTTACAAAAAACCCACCTCCGTATTGACGAGATCCATATGCTCTTCCATTAACGACTCGAAATTTTCTCCAACCCAACTAAATATTGTAAACGTCATTGCTGCCCCAACACTATCCACAATTTCGTTTGTAATTTTTTCAACAATAATGTCTTTTAACTCATTTGAAAGGTGTTTATTGTAAAAAGCATTTAAGTTAATAGACGGTAAGCATTCTGGATATGTATCTGTCCATTGAACTTCTAGCAGGAAGGACTTGCTTTCACCCGACTCTCCAAATCTGTATTGAAAAGTGGTCTCATTCAGTTCATTAAAAAGTTCATCTTCCTCGTATATAGCACGCAAAACTTCGAGTTCCTCTTCTTGTTCTGTATTCTGAGTCATCTCATAAACTTAGGAGACGGAATTTGTAAGAACCAATAGTTTATTTATACAATTGAAGTGTTTTTGAATTGCAAAAATATTGATCTTATTTCGGTAGACAATGAAATCCCATCGCTTAAACGTAGCTTTAGACAATAGGCGTTACTTTTTTGCACTTTTGTAACTGTCTTTTTTGCGTATGAAGTTTCCTATTTAAATCCAACCCTAATCTTGATGACTTGATCGACTTTAAAAAAGCAGATCTGTGTCTCCGTTATATTATAAGTCTGAAAAACAATGGTACAAATTGTTCCTTCTAAGGAACACGGAATAATCGACGCTAGAAAATGGTTTAAAAATTCAAGTAATAAAACTGAAATTCTACTGTACTGTTTCTACATTCCGTCATTTGCCTACATTCCGTCGCCTTTGAAATTTTGAGTTGGAGAATGTAATATTTAGTGAACTCGTTATATTTGTGAACGCAAAGATGAAATGGTGTATGTTGTGAGTCTGTATCAGAACCTGAGCGATGATATTTTTGGATAAGTGGTCAAGTGAAGCAAGATGGCTTCCAGGCATGTGGACGTTAATGAACGAAGATTGCGACCAGTTTATGGTTAGGATTATGGAATTAACCATTTACGTATTAGTGTTTTTCATATATTCATTCCTCATATGTTCCTTTCGTAATTTAGATGCACTGGATAGCATGAACAATAAAAAAGCTATTCAGCATGCTGATAAAATCCTTAAGAAACAGAAAGACCTGCACTGTGCTAAGGTAAATATTGCTGAATTTGCTCGCTATTATCAACTCTGTGTTGCGTTGTGTTTATTTGTACAGGAAATACGTCTCTGCATGCTTGTTACTTAAAGCTGTAAAGGCTCTTAGAAGCGACATTTTTTGTGCAATCATGATCTTATTGAAACTTGAAACCCAAATCAGGGGACTAGCCCTGATTTCTCCAATCCACACCCTCTTGAACCATGACAATATAAAGGTTTTGACTGCTCCAAAATGAGATTAGCCACTGTGAGATTTACATACTTTTTGGGGTCTATTAATGTCTGGTTGATTTTGAAAAATGATGCAGACATGCATAATTTGGGTAATGATTTCTTTCTTGTGCAAGTCTTGATTTGCCCTTTCTTCAAGAAGCTTTGTCTTAATCATCATTTTCCAAATTTGCTCTCGCCCATAAAAGTATATCATTTGCAAAGTATACTTAAGTTGAAATAAAGGCCTATTTACACTATATTATAATACATGTGATTATAATGATTTTATACAATTCATGCCTTGAGTAATCCAATAAGTATGCATGCAAATACAGCACATTTCAAACTTTGCCGTCCTGTGTATAAACAGAAATATGGCATTATGACATTCATTTTCATTCCTCAAAATGGCAATCAATATACAATTAACCATATCATAAGAATGAGCCTTGAAACTGCCATTGTTAATATTAATTGTCTATAATTGAACTTGCTATCCTTACATACATATTCTTTGCTGGGGAAATATGTGCATGGTCTAGTTGTGCTCAAGTCATGTAGTTTCTTGCTGTTTTGTTAACATTATTTTGGATTGTTATAAATTAGCTTGTGGTTGTAGGTACACCACTTACATGTACTGCAAAGCTTTTGGTCCATTAACACGGGCTTTCATTGGTGCAATAAAATGAACTGACCGAAAGCTTTGCAGTATTATACTTATGGTACTTATTTTATGTCACCATGCAAAATTACAAGAATATTAAAATATGTAAGGTTTAGGATAATACTTAATTTAAATATAGCCTATTGTATTCTTTTGACCAGTCAGAGCACAAACAATTTGCAGTTACCTCCCTTTTGTTTGCAATGGAAGTTAGTGTGCATCGAGCTTGCAGAATTGTACAGATCCACTTACAGTAGTTACAGTGTTACTAACATGTTGGCTTCTCTGAACTTGTGGGATTCTCTGAACTTACTTCAGTTGACCTGATTGCACAGTGTTAGTGAAGCTTTCCAGATCCTCCTTAATGAGTCCCACATCTTCTCAGTTTTCCATTTGAATAATATTCATGTGTTCATAACTATTCTTTTTAGGTCCTGAAATCAATTGCTTTACTCAGGTCTGGGAGACGGGAGGAGTGTGAGAAACTGATGGAGGAAGTGAAAAAAAAAGAAATAGCGGATGATTCAACCTTGCAAGCAATGACTATTTGCTTTAAAGAAATGGAAAGACGTATGTTAAAAACGCTAACTATATTGGACTAGTTAGAAATTTGTTTCTGCAGTTATTTTCGGAATGATGAACCTCATCAAAGTTTATTGTTCAACCCCCAACAGTCGCTCGGTTACAATGAACATAAATTAAACTCCAAATGTGTTTAAGATTAACCATAGACAATCCAAAAGACAAAAGATGTCTTTTGGATTGTCTATGGATTAACAAATGCATAAACATTAATCATTGTATAATAATACCAAACCAGGAACATTGTGAGAAATGCAGCTGATGGCCTACAAAGGGGAATCAAAGCTATGTTCACAACATTCTTGGTTTAGTCCCTCATAATTATATGTCGATGCTTTTCCTTGAATGCTTTCGATAGGAAATTTATGTTCTGAGATGACAAAGGAAGTTAACAATCCAGTCCTATAAGTCATCTCTGTTAATAAAGCCTGCAAGCCAGTTTAGTTGCAAGACAAGTTTTTCACTCTTACTGTCCTGAATTCATCTGTCTGTACATGCAATAGACCAGAAGTTAATCAATTCATTTTCATACAAATTCCTTGACATCCTCCTTACTGGCATGTTGGTTCCTATTCATTGGTCTGGCACCTAAACAAAAATTATTGTTATGACAGTGGTCCATTAGTTAAAGTTACAATTCCTGTAAAGTGAATGGTAACCAAACAAGCCGAGTATATACGATCTTAAAGCTGTAAAAAATGAAATTTGGGTAAAACATGTCATGTCTGAAATTCCTTCAAAACCTTTTAGATTCCGAAATATCCGATATTTACGAAGTGGCTGTGAAAAAAAGTCCCCAAAATGAAGAATTATCAACTCATCTTTTCATGTCTTACGTGAGAACGTCACAATACAAGAAACAGCAACAGGTATATTTACAGTACCATATACAGCACTATTACTGTATATACATTTATGTAGTTTAATAGGGGCATGGTCCATTAATTACAGTATTACATGTTCTCATTGTAGGTGGCAATGAATTTATATAAAAAGTTTCAGAAAAATCCATATTACTTTTGGGCGGTCATGAGCTGTATCATGCAGGTTTGTAGGTCTCCCGTACACTTAGCTATCACAGGCATTAATTTTAAAAAATTCGGCGGGAAAATTTTGCCGGAAACCCGCAGTAAAATGGTTTGATGGTTTCATTGTGAGATTTCAACTGTATCTTTGGCGGTCATATACACCAGGTCAAAAGGTATTGCCTTTAGGTCGTGATGGTTGCCATTTATAATTTATCTTTCGTTGTGTGTCGATTATATGAAGCCGCGATGGCCATTTTTTGTCACGAATAGAACTTTTACCTTTCAAGCGCGCAATGCCTGATGGTAGTTGATTATCAAAGTCAATGTGTTGATGTTAATTATCAAAGTCAATGTGTCAATGCGATGGCGCTCTGTTCCGACCCAAAAAATCATAAGCAGCCCGGTCAATGCGGGTACCGAAAAAATCGGCAAAGTTACCTTTTTAGTTAAAATCGCTTCTGGACACAGCGTTATCGCGATTCAAATTTAGCGACTTCAAAGATAAAAGAGAAAAGGTCTGATAAAGGCAGTTCTTTCTTTACCCAGGCAAGCGTCTGCGAAGATGAACACGTCAAAAAAAACATGTTGCTGCCACTGGCCGAAAAAATGATCCTAAAATTTATCAAAGACAAAAAGGTGGAAAGCCACGAAGAGGTGTATGTTTACCTTCTCGTCCTGGAAATGCAAGAGAAATACGAGGGTGCTCTCGAAGTTATAAATGGTCCATTAGGTAAAAATACTACAGTTTATTATTTATATTTCCCAGGGGCCGGTTGTATTAAGCCCGTTTAGCTTAAACGGTGGGTAAGTCAAAATTAAATAACACTCTTACGTCTCTCTTGAATGAGTCAACTTGAATATTTTGCACTGAATATGTAGTTGTAGACAGTATCTTTGTATCAAGGTAAAAAAAATTTAGCTCGCTTGTTGAATAAAACGGCAGACTTTCTTTCTATTTTGAACTTATCCACCGTTTAAGCTAAACGGGCTTAATACAACCGGCCCCAGGGGTTTTAAAGGGGTGAGGTGTGTTACCCGCGCATAGAAGAATGCTGAACCCGCATTTATCGAAATAATGTTGTGTTTCTGTGTTTCTAGGTGAATTTTTATTTCCAAATGTGAAAGCGAAGAAAAAAGTAGATTATTTATTGAAACTTGAACGATGGCGAGAGGTTAATCTCTTGTATAAGAATTTAATTGAGGAAAAGTACGTATTGGTTGGTTTTCAAAAATTTTATCTCAATTTATTCACTATTTTTACTAAATTCCATGATGCTGTGCGCGCGCATTTCTTGGGATACTAAAATTTGTTTGTTTTGATTTTGGCGGGATTTAGTACCCCAAGGAATTTGCGCGCGCAGCATCGTGGGATTTAGTGAAAATAGTGAATAAACTGAAACTAAGCATCAAATGTGGTATAACAACTGCCTAAAATAGACAAAACATTTCTCGGCGTTTTGACCTGAGGGCCTTCGTAACAATAAAAGAAATAAATAAAAGAAACTGATGTATTGATATAACTTATGGTTACATCATACGACACACGAGGTTATTATTACTATATATAGGTTATTTCAAACCAATCAATTCTTCAATTGATTAAAATGACCGGTTTACATGAGTTCATCCTATGAAAATCCGTTTTTAGAAATTCATAGGTTTGGGTTTTATAACGAATCAAATTTGTAAACGTGTTTTAGTCCAGATGAATGGTCCAGCTATCAAGGATATTTAGAATCAATGATCAAGTTAGTTGAAACAAACTACTCGGACACTGACGGTAATAATTCGTGGTAAGTTGCTATGCACAATTCACT